CAAAACGCTACGTAAATTCACATTCGAATGATTCACATGGAACTTTTTGTTGCTCTCTCTCTCATATTTACACACAAAAATTACAACTTCATCAATAAAAGCCTAACAAATAATTCTTGAGATTCCATTTCTTGAATTATCATCAATGTACATGTACTGCAATAAGCAAAATCCTCTCCCAAAGCAATATCCATACTGATCATCAGAACAAACACATCAAGCCTCTAGATCGATCTTGATGCAAAACGCCTTATTATCTCCTTGCTGCATGCGAATAATCAAAAGACAACAGAATCCATAATCTGATCTATACAAAAATATATATAAAAAAAAAATCTTATAGATTTACAGAGATTATTAGTTACCTCATGAGGTGCCTATCAAGGGATGAGGCAGCCAAGAGTCCCCTGTTTTCTTCAGCCCTTCTGAGAAGATAAGGCATGATTTGCTCGACCGGTCCAAATGGTAGATATTTGCTCACGTTAAAACCGGCATTTTTCAACCCAAAAGAAAGTGCTTCTGACATTCCATAGAGCTGAGCAAAATGGAGATATGGGCTGTTCTTTCTGATTCCCAGGTTAACCGCTTTTGACGCTGCCATTTTCCCTGCAATTCATCACCATTATTACTGAGCCAAATGCAAAGGAAACACTAAAAACAACAAAAATATGTGAAGAGATGCGTTCAAGTCGAACAATTTGACTTCAATCCCCAAATTAAAATCTTGAAATAAAAAGTAAATACTAGATTGAATAATAAGAAAAAAAAAAAACACTAAACAAAACAAACTGAAAAGTATTCTTAGAAGTTGAAACATGAAACCAACAACTAAGAATTTTAAAATACTGCAAGCCCCAAGAAAAAAAAACATTAAATAAAAGACCCAAAAGCTATAAGTAAGAACCTCAAAACTTAAAAAAAAAAAAAAAAGATTCAAAAAAGTTGATCTTTCAGCTAAAGTTTCTTCTATGAGGCAACATACTCTTTTCACAAGTATAGTTTCATCAGAAATGTGGTACTGTAAAAAAAAATAGACTACTTGATGTTAACAGAATTTGACAGGTCGACCCGCCAACAGTTAGACCCGTCCCACACAAGGAGTAGTAAATGATCACCTGATTCAACATTGTGGGTCGCCAGCACAGCATAACCAGACCCGCTCCCGATCTCATCAAGCAGAAAATCAGCACACGAGTCGAAACATGCGTGAGTTTCCCCTATGCTATCGTGAACGGGTGACTTAACCCCCAACCTATCAGCCAACATCCTCTCGCTCGACAAGTAAGCTCCCCTCACCAGCTTAAACCCCACGGGCACCCCCATTCGGTCAGCAGCTTCCTTAGCAGCCACGAGCCTCTCCTTCGCGTCCTTCAGATACGCTTGGATCGTGTTGAATATGATGGGACTCCCGTCTTCCCTACCGGAATGTTCCACAGCGGCCCAGTAGGCAAAGTGATCGATGGCTGGCTGGATTGAGGTGTCTTCTGCATCGATCAAGAGAGGGATATCGGCCTCGACTGCTCGTCTGCAGATTCTGTCAAGCCTCGCGCGCGCCAATTGGAGGTCGTGTTCTTCGTGTAGGGTTAGAGGTTGGGGTTTTGTTGGGGTGTGGTATAAAGGGCTAAAGTCGGATAAA